CTCTAGAAAAAAGTTGAGTATGCAGTATTTTAACCCATTCAATTTTACTATAAGAAAGTGCAAGTAAGAGGAAGCTAGAACTTACCATTGATTTTTGGGAAATTGTTGAAGGTGTCGCTCATTTTTTCCATAAAAAAAAGATTATTAATGTACTTATGTACTCAAACATTTAAAGTTGGGTGAAAAAAATACATACATATGGATTTATTTCGATGGTCGCTGTGTATGATTTTTCGTCCATATTTTTTATTACTACGAGTAAATGATAATGGTAAAACCTTGTAAGTTATACTAGTACAATAATTAAAATAAATATGTCCTATTGACAGCCAAAACCATGCTTCGCTTTAATCACCTTTTCTATGGCCGGATTGCAAAATACTAGTTAGGGTTCTTACGGGACACTGTGTGACACCATCAGATTCCGGAAGTTCAGGACTGAGCTACTAGGCTCTTCTTTTAATAACTGAAATAAATAGCAGATCAAAGGACAACAAATTTCTAAAACTCGCTAAAACATGACGCATGACTATAGGCGTCCTTTTTCTTTGTAACACTAAACTATTTCATACGGATCATCCAAGCTAATCTAACCTGTACATCTCAACCAAAAATCAACGCTGAATTTTGCGGGGTTATATATCCAGGCAGCGTAAATAGAATTACATCTATGCATTAAACTAATTTAAACCAATTCCATTTTTACCCAATGTTTCTATCTTTCATATGTTGATTACAAATAACAAAAATGTATGAATTTGGGAAGTTCAAAAATATATTCATATTCATAAAAAGAATATTGTCATTCATATTCTTTCAATTTGTTTTACAACGTTTGAACGTTGCTATGTCGATACTCATGTCAACACACCTATTCATTTAAATTCAATAAAATTCAAAGCCAATTACATTTATTCAATTAGATTATGAATGATTCAATTGTTGTTTTGAATGGATTCATGCAGGCGTCTAATTTATACCGAAAAAATATACCACTTTTTTTTTAAATCAAAAAATATTTAGAAGTCTCTCAAAGCAGTCAAAGTTTTCTATGTACTTTATATAGGAAAAAAACAAGTTTTCGTGGGTATTATTATTGGAAGTCTACTGAAGAGAACGAAAGATTTCCGATCGAAAAATATTGATTTCATGAATTCTATACCATTTCTACAAAAAGTTGTTTTTCCATATAAAATACATGGAAAACTTTGAGCGACCTCTAAATATTTTTAGATTTCAAAATAAAAAATTGGGGTATATTTTTTCGATACAGAACCATCCTAGAGGGTCAGAGCATTATAATTACGACTTTACTTCTTTGGACCACCCTAATATGCATATGTATGCAAAAGGAGTCTTATTGTATGTATGTAAATATTTTTATACGCATTCATTGTTGCTGTCTGCAAACCAATTAAAGTAAACGTCATTATGATTGTTATAAATTGACCCAATTCAAGCTCAGCATACATACCTACAACAAATAAGTTTGTACAATTGTGTCAGAGTGTCAGCATGCGCCTATAATAAATGCTATAAACTACCATTTTAATTATTAATAAATGTAGGCT